AAATACGAAAATTAGAATATAAATACTCATTTACATTTGTCGTTTTTAGTGGAGAATCATCCAAAGTGATACGTGTAGATTGCCTTTAAAGATATGAACTAAAGTTATGTTTTCTTAAATGGGATACCCTGTATATTTATAAATTTTATGATCTGGCTTGCCATAAGCTTCTCGAAAATATATAACCCTCTATTTTCATTATTTAAGGCAATATTTAAAAAAAATATATTAAAAGATCATGTTTATTAGTAGGCCATGATTGATAATAAAAGAAACTAAAGAATTATTAAAAGTAATACCACGGCATATAAATCACACGGCAGGCTAACTCTCTTTGGCGGGAACGCTACGCGCATACCGTCGCGCACGCCGCCGTTAGGGTTTCCATCAACAGAAAGTAACCAGTGTCGTAGTTTCTTTCATCGACTGCGCACACTTTCGGCTGATTCGAGTCAGTAGTGTACGGATTAATTTATTTTGTTTATTTCTTGAGTTATATTTTATAGTTGTTTTATTTTTGTTTATTGTGTTATATATTTGGTTTTTCTAGTTTATTTTCGTTTCTTGTGTTTGTAATAAGTTAAGAATACATTTTTAGGGCAAGAACATGGGCAATTGCAGCTAACGGAGACTTGATTGAAGATATAAATAAGGCCCACAAGTACAGGTTGTGTTCTGTTCACTTTGAATTTAAAATGTTTACCAATTCACTTTGTAACCGTATAAAATACAATGCGGTACCTACTTTGTTTCCTGCCATGAAAAAAATAGAAGTTTCTCAAAAAAAATTGTGGATTTATTAATTTGTGGAATTTGAATATTAATAAAATTTGCTACGCCCATTGATGGGCATAATTTGTACGTAGCCTCTTTATATTGTTCAATAAATATTTTATTGGTATTTTTTTAATTCTTGTTTGTAACTCCTGGCATGTTTATGTTAGTTGCATGCTTTTTAATTTCAATTGTCTATTCTCTACAGTGAAATATTTAATTGATTTTTTCCTTTTTACTTTTCGAGAAGTATGCGCCGTTAACGATTCATTTGTTTGGACAAAAGTATTGTAAATAAAATTCAGTTTCAGTCAATTACAGTATTTTTTTAATACGACCCTGTCGTATTTTCTGAGAACTTTTTTAATACGTTTATACGGCAGTTTTTACAACGATAACAAAACAATTATACGTAACCACAAATAAAAAATCGGTAAAAAAACTTTTACGTTAAACGGTTTTATCTTATGTGCACTGAAAACTAGAAAATAATAATAACAATTAGGTATTTTGAACTTCTAGTTCAGAAATATTTTAGTACTAGGCAGAATAGCTTTTAGGCATATTAGACTAAAATAAAAACGTGGAGCCCATTAACTATTGCTGTAATACTTTCTTCTATACTAAGTGTGGATTGCATCGACTTACTATAATCGTAACTGGAGATTTTGACAATCAATAACCAGCCGTGGCGGCTTCACCAGCGAACGCCGAGCTCATGATCTACCAAAGTATATAAAGATATACTTTGCCATAGGTAGGATTTCAGAGGGGCCCCACGTTTTTATTTTAGTCTAATATGCCTAAAAGCTATTCTGCCTAGTACTAAAATATTTCTGAACTAGAAGTTCAAAATACCTAATTGTTATTATTATTTTCTAGTTTTCAGTGCACGTAAGATAAAACCGTTTAACTTAAAAGTTTTTTTACCGATTTTTTATTTTCTAGTTTTTAGTATTTAACGGAAATGCCTACCGAATATTCCTCATTCTATTTAATTCATTTAGTGCATCATTATTGCATGGTTTTTTACCTGATAATTTATTACAATCTAATTCCTCAATATATAGCCCTTCCAGAGACTTGACTCGACTTAGAGCCACGTATGCTTGCCCTTCCTCAAACAATTTTGAGCCCAAATACACTACTGCATGGTCGACTGTGCTGCCCTGCATTTTATGGACGGTGGATACCCATGACAAAATTAAGGGTAACATACTTCTTTCAGCCGTACCATAATTGAATTTTGCTGGAAACTGTATGGCTTTCGGGTTAACGTGTATTCCGTCTCTGCCAAAGTCAATCCAAACTGATGGTACATCTGTTTCGTACATTTGGGTTCGACGGAACTGAGGCCAAACAATTTCTGTAATGTGGCCTATAGCACCATTTACCAATCCTTTTGTAACGTCAATGTTGGACCGCAACATTTTCACAAATTCATCACCTATTTTTTTTTATCTGTCACTAACGTCACACAATCTTGGACACACCTGTTCTGGACACGACTACTCATGCCCTCACCTAATACGCCATTTTGTAACGACGTCCATCTTGGATTTTAAATTTTGTAATCACAGTATTCTACTAGTGTAGCCCTTTCATTTGATACCCATATTGAGGGGGTTGTGGAAAAATATTTATTATTATATATATTTACAATGTTATTGATATTACTGTATTGTATTGTCATCGGAACTAAAGGTGTGTACGAAATTTCAGATCAATCTGACAACAGGAAGGTACTTAAATTTCAATTTCTAATTTTGACCCAAACAAATAAATAAATACCGTACGGGTCGAGCTAAATAAAACCGTTTAATAAAACCGTTTAAAAACAAAGCCAATTTACGCCAGACCTCTGTCAAGTTGCCAACGTTTAGCCCAATTTAATGTTATCCTTATATTGCCTATTATTCAAGTTATCCTTATTTATCTTTATATTTTACAACAGGTGGCAACCGCGCTAACTGAATCTTTCAAACTTCCTGCTATCGTCCAGGGAATGCTACCATTCACTAGTAAAAGTTGATTTCAAAAATAGCTGTTGAACTTTTACTGGCGTAGTCTTAGCAAATCAGTGAATGTGAGCTTTTACTTTTTACTGATTTCCAACTTTTATTGTAACAGAGATATAAATATATTTTTTTTATAAAAATTAAGATACAACACACAGATTTATTTGTCCTAACCCTCTTAGTTCCTAACATACAAGGCAAATTTTGAAATTTTCCATTATTCGACCTTTTTCGTATATCGGTTATCTTATAACAAAAAGGTAAAAACTGAGTTCCCATAGAGTTTTTCACATAGAATTCAGTGGCATAATTAGTTTTTCGCATGAAGACCTTTATTTTTGAAGTATGTTTTAAAAGTGTGTTATTCTATTTAGTTTATATATAATTTGAGCGAAGAGGTAATTTTGCTTTCTATCGTGTGTACTGTGCTTTTAGATAAGTGCTTTTAGATAACACGCTGTCAATCTGTGTTATCTTTGATGTATTTGTGCAATATATTTACAAATGAAAACTGGCATGGAAAACCCAATAACCAAAATTTGACGTTGAATAAATTATTCGAAATTTTTGATAACCTAATTTAAACCAGCCGCCTATATGTTAAAAAGTTAGAAAATGTTTTTTTTTAAAAGTAAGTACCTACCTATACCGGGTGCGTTTCAAAAGTGGCTCACCCCTATAACTTTCTATTTTTTCAGATAAAAAACGAGATTTGGTATCTATACTAATATATAAATTCCGTAAGTGACTGACATACTGATTAATCACGAGCCTGCTCAAACCACTCAACGTAAGAAGCTCAATTTTGGCATATAGGTTGATTCTAGGGTGTAGAGGTTCGATAAAAAGGGATTTTTCGAAATTCCAGTTCCAAGAGGGTGAAACCACCCCTCAAATATTACAATATTTTTTATTTAAACAACGGTCAAGTTTCCGAAAAAACGCTTAAACACGTATATTTTATTTTGTTTTTTTACATATTTTAAGATTTTTTAAAAATGTACACAGGGTGTTTCGAAAAATCCGGCCGTTGATTAATCACGATCCTGCTTAAAGCGCTTGACGTAAAAAACTGATTTTTGGAAATCAGATTGACTTTAGGGTGTAAAGGTTCGATAAGAAGGGATTTATCGAAACTCGAATTCTAAGGGGGTGAAACTCTCCCTCAAATATTAAAATATTTTTTATTTAAAAATTGGTGAGTTTTTCGGAAAAACTCTTAAACACGTATATTTTATTTTGTTGTTTAACATATTTTAAGATTTTTTATAAATTTATACAGGGTGTTTCATAAAATATAACCATTGAGTAATCACGACTGTGGGGTGTAGAGGTTCGATGAGCAGGGGTTTCTCGAATCTTAAATTCCAAGAGGGTGAAAACGCCCCTCAAATATTACAATATTTGTTATTTAAACAAACGGTTAGTCTTTCGGGAAACCGTTTGGACAAGCATAATTTATTTGGTTTCTTTACATATTTTGAAATTTTTTAAAAAATCATACAGAGTGCACCTTCCAAAAAGTTGGGTAATTTCTTAACCACGATTCTGCTTAAACTGCTTGACGTAAAAAGCTTATTTTTGGCAAACGCATTTTTCGAAAGTCAAATTCCAACGAGATGAAACTACCCCTCAAATATTACCAAGTTATATAATAATATCGCCATATAGTTTTTTCTCATGCTGACATAAATGTGAGAAAATTTTATCCAGTTTGTATATTAATGGAGATTCTTGCTTTGCTTTATCATCACCATTACAAATGATTAATTCAACGCGAACGAATTCGCTGGTACAAGCTAGTGTTAGTATATATGACATAAATTAGGATTAATTGACGTATTCAATTGTTTTTGGTTACTTCCTGTTTCACCGGAAATTACTACAACTTTTGATATTTAAATGGCACCCTTGGTATATTTGTATTTTATTCGATAGAAAATGACACTCTAAATAGAATGACATATCATATGTCAACTTTTGACATTTTGACTTAAAAAAATCGCTATGGCTGTGGTAAAAAACACTAATTTTTAATCAAGGAGTATTTTTCTGATTCTCATTTTCTCTGTCTATGCTGGAAAAACGTTACTTTCTAACAAAAAAAAATACAGGAAAAGAAATAAATATCCTAATCGCTCCAAAAATAAAAGAAATATTGAACAATTACATTTAGATACAGGTATATTATTTTTTTTAAGTACTTACCACTATCATATAATTCACATTCTGACATTTCGGCCATTTTCGTATTCGTGATGTCTTTGTGCGAAGCGAGAAACAGAACCACTTCTCTTTTCTCATTTTTAATTGGTACTATGTCCAGCAAACACCAAAATGGAGTACCTGAAATAGAAAAAATTCAAAACTAAAGCTAAAGAATTTAAGAACTATAAAAAATAAATCAAATGGGGGTGAATTACCAAGAGAGAAGAACCGGTGATATTACTAATCTATACCTACACATATCTCATAGTTTTTGATATAAAAAATAATGCATGTGTAAAACTGGCAAAAACATGATCTTGATTCAGCATTGGTAAAATCATGAAATGAGCATTTTTAAAGTTGAAATTTTAGTGCTATGTTTGAAAAAAAAAGTCGATATATTGACAGATCAAATATAACGACTAAATATCACACAGGGAGGCAACAAAATATATTTTTTCCATAGCAACTTTAGCCGCAAGGGTAGGTTAAATGATACTTTAACAGCGAGGATAGGTTAAAAACTTTATTTCTTGTCGCACGTTTTTTAATTGCTTCCATTTTTGAAAATTTTTGTATTCCTTTTCATAAGTTATTCGGGATTTAAATGGAAGTAGTTTGGATATGGCGTTTGTCGCCTCAGCCTGAATATCTGTTGGTAATTACTTATTTCGTTTTGAGCCATTTCTGGCTCCAATTCAATCAGCAATCGACACGAAAGGGAATTAATAAATATTGACTCAAAACTGACAACTAAAGAGACAGCCAGAGAATAGGTACATTAAAGAAATGCTAACTTCATGTTAAAAAATGGAAACAAACGCCACCTGGTGTAGCCTGGCAGTACTAGCTAAATTGAGGGGAATTGGAGGGGCGGGGCTTAAAATAGGGGAAATTTAAAAAAAAATATTTTATAAGTATCACTGACTTACTGTTTAAAGTTAATAAACATATTTTTTATTACTTTAATATAATTTAAAGTATTAAAAAATATGTCTATTAACTTTACACAGCAAATCAATGATATTATTAAAGACTTATTATTTTCAGAGAAAATTCATAGTAAATAAATTACACATTAGTAAACAATATCATTTATTTTTAGAGCTGCGATTTATATTACAATAATATTGAAATATATATATTTTTTTTAACAATGAAAAAGAATATCCCGGAACCTGAAAAAGAAAGATGATCAATTAATGACTTAAATTAGTTCAAAATACATTTTGCAAATAACTAGTGAATTGGACAGATAAACATACTATTAAAAAGACATTTTAGTAGTATGTTATCATCTATTTACTGATAATACATAAGTATATAATAGGTAAATAACATGCATAAGGCACTATGATACAACTACCTAGTAGTTGTATCATAACAGCACACTAATATCACAAAAATATGTGCTAATTTAAATTCCTTTAATGATCTAATGAAACACTATCTAGCCTCAATGCATGCCATTCCAAAGGCAAGAAAAACTGTTATACCATATAAATATAAGCTGAATAAAACATGAACCAAGCCAACGTGCATAAGCAAGCAAAAAATACATCAAAAAATATTTTTATCAGATCATACCCATGGATATATTATGTATTTTATATATCGCACATCCCATTCAAAAGTTTACTAACTCAAAATAGGGAATATAGAGAATATTGTCAAGAGAAGTAAAAGAAAATTTAAGTTAAAGCAATATGCTCCTTTTTGCATATTAATGGCCAAATAATATAATGTTGATTTAATAAAATTTTACTGGCATCCTTCTGAGGTATAAATCAGATTAAAAGGACATTGTTTTTGTAATAATTGTTTGTTTTGTAAACATTTTTTGAAGACAATACAGTTTTGAACGGGCTGTGCGATATAAACAAGGATCTTACTATTATTTGAGGTTAGAAAGTATTTAAATAATATAAAACATAATGAAAATCATTTTTCATCATAAATTATAGAGGTACTTACGTGTTTTGATATTATCAGGAAATAATACGTTTAGTTAAACAGGTACGCTGCCAGGCAACAGGCAAGTTCTATCGGCGGGTCTTTGCAAAAGTTGAAATCTAAAAATACAAAAATACGTGTACATCTTAGTTGTATTTACGAATAAAGTATTTGTGTGTAATTTCTGACTTACCAGTTAACTGAATAATCGCATTAAATACATCCAAATGGTAATTTAATATTGTAAAAGAGCAAAATTGTTTTAAATCACTTGCCAGGACAGCCGGCCAGCTTCTTTGTTGGCAAAATGGCCGCGGTATCATGATTTAAGCTATGTGAGTGACAAAGAAAGCCAATGCCTGGCAGATGTTGCTTTCTTTGTCGTTGGTCCTGGCACGTTTAAATTTGACTGTTGCCTGTTTACCCATACAAGTGACACCCCCGTGGAGACAGCTTTATTTATTTGTCAAATTAAATAGAAACCAACGCCAACCCAGCACAATATTTTTTCTACTCGTAAGAAATTCCTTGAAATAATAATTTCTGAATATTTTTTAAAACGTAACTCGCTATGGAAAAAAATATTGTTTTATACACGACAATAAAATTGCATTATCGTCTCGCGAAATTAATTCACTCGCGATTTCATCGCTCGTGAATATTTTAAAGGTATGATTCCGAAGACGGCGACAGCGACAAGCGACCGCGACAGACGACAGCGACACCTGTCGTTACTGTGTTGCGACTCCACCGATCTTTTAGAATCAAATGGAGTAACGTCGGAGTCCTACGACAGGTGTCGCGCGACTGTTTTTATCGAACATGTAAGCGACCGACGACGCTACCGGTATTTGTCCAGTACTGTCGTGTCGTCGTTCATATGCACACGCATATTTTTGACAAAAAATGGATTTTACCGGGAAGGAAGAAGACAAATTAATTAATTTAGTATGTAAATATCCATAAAGTCGCTTCTAAAAGTCGTCTCATCGCTGAATAAATGTTTTTTTATGAGTAAGAAATAACTTCCTTCCCTAGGTCTGTTTTTAAACAGAGGTAAAATGATTTTTTTCTTTTCTTTGCACCAAGTAACTATAATATTTCGTCCTCTTCATCACTTCCATCAGTAATTCAAGTAACACATTTTTATCAATCACGTAATCAGACATATTTATTAATTATTATAACTACTTCGCGCTTCGCGAACGTCAATTAAACACTGACAACAACATCGTAGATCTCGCTCATTGTCGCCGACATCGACAATGATACGACGACAGCGATAAGCGACACTGTCGCCTGTCGTTGTCTTCTGTCGCGGTCGCTTGTCGCTGTCGGCGTCTTCGGAATCATAAACTGTTATTTCCGTTTGTTATCAAACTGTTCAAATTTTTTCTATTTTAAATTCAACAAATTAATAATAATTATTTATTTGTTGTTAATAATAATTATTAATTATTATTATTAATTAATTAATAATGTTAAATTATGTAAATCATGATCTGTATTTTCCTGAAACATTATAAATTCAATTAAACTACAATAAAAAAAGGAAAATTAAAAGACAACAGATAAGCTGAAACCGACAAAAATAAAGATAATAACCTCAGAAACAATCCCCTTTTAATTGAATTAAAATCGTTAGTACAACTGACCCCTTTCTAGCTTTCAGCTCTTTCCCGAAACTGCGTAGTGCCCTTAAAACCGGAGAAAAAGCAAAAAAATAATAAAAGAATCGAATTATGTGCCCTTAAAATACGGTTTTAAACTAGGAAGGAAGTAAAAATTGAAGAGCAAGGAAAGCACATTTCGAGTATGCCTGTAAAAATGTAAAAAGCGTTTCGGAGTAATTGATGGATCTGAATACAAATGGGTATTTTTGATTTCTGGTTAGATATCAGGAAAAAATCCTATTATAGGGAAAGAAATGGTTTTTGGAGACGATATTAATATAAGTCATTATTTTTAGAATATAATTTCTTAGAAATAAGTTGGTACAATTGGAACGCAACGCAGGAAATTAATAATATATTTAAAATTTGGGTGCCAAGTGATTACTTCAAAATATTGTGAAAAAAACTGTATAAAACTGAAAAAATGTAATCGAGTTATTTTATTAAAAACAAAACGGTATGTGTTCCCGCATTTATTATTATATTTATTATATTGATAACGCACGACGGATTTATATTTAAACCCATCCATAGTTAACTTAAAAAAGATTATAAACTTTTTTTAGTAAAATAAATAGATTGGTATGGACGTCATCTGCTTGTCTTCTGTCATCGTCTGTAGAAATCTTACCTGAGAAAAAAAAACAAAGTATACCGTATGATAATAAAAACGGCGTCAAAGACGGCTGGGGAATAACAATAGACTTAGTAAACTAATAAGAATTATTAACCTAATAAGTTTACCGTTCTTGCGATTGTCCCACATAATTAGAAATTCAATTTTTTGAGAGACCCGCGATACAATTCTCGTAGCCATCTATCAGTGAACTCCCAGAACTAACTAAAGCTGAATAACTAGTTAATATATATATACAAGAATATTACCTAATAACACCTATTATCTCTGTTCGTTTTCTGATTTCCCTCTCCCTAATTTGCGAATAATATTTAAAAAATCAATAATTATTTACGTGTGTTTTAAAACTGAATGTTTTGAATATAAAAAATACGTTTACCTATATTTAAATAGGCGTGTCATCTCAACCTTGTACGCAATTAATGCTACATTGTAGGCAATCTGATATGTAGGTATATCCAGAAAATATGGTTAAACATTTCTTGAATTTGATACTTTATGTCAGTTTGATGATATTTATATTTTCGTACTTTAGTTCTTAGGCGTAAAAGTGTTTTATTTTTATACCCAAGCGCTAAAATTACATCTTTATATTGCCAATCACGACGATTTTGTGCCTTTTTAAAGAAAAATTATTATGATACTTATGATAAAAGTATTTTTTATCTAATCAATATTATTGATATTGAGACTTTTTAATGTGGAAAATGGAAATAAAAAAAGTATTATTCAATAAAATTCTTCCAGGCTTCATCCCACTATAGAATTTAAATTTTTAAACTCGACAGGGGCAGGATTCTGACTTTTTTCCTATTTTTTTCAGTCGCGCCACGCATAAATCTCTAATGCCAGGCGTGTGACAAATTAACCATTAA